AGCCATTTTGTGTCTGTGCCCACCGCGCTCTTTCAGAATTCCAAAGGGGCCGAAAGGCTCAAAATGGCTGGGGACTCCTGCCATAGACACAGACTTCCTTACGCCTCCGGGCTTCGAACCTTTTCCCTGTGGCAACACGGGGGACAAATCCTTTCCCTTGAAACTGAATCCAGACATTGTCTGTTCCCTGAAACGCAGAGCCATCCCTGGCTTTCATCCACCTTCAGAAGAGCCAAGGAGGAATTGCCTTTCGGTACGCAGGGATCAGTCTATGCTATTGTGTTCCCCATAGCGACCTACGGCTTCGCAAGTTGGAGCATGAAGAAGCAAAACAGGAGGAAAACCAACTTATTTGAGCTGTGGTGCAGGAGAAGGCTCCTGCGCATTCCTTGGACATCAGAGGTGACAAACAAGCAAGTATTGGAGCGCATAAAACAAGAAATGTTATTGGAAGGGGAAAAAATCATGAAACTGCGACTGACTTGTTTCGGCCATGTCATGTGGAAGAACTCACTAGAAGGAGCAATTATGCTTGGATTGGTTACTAGCAGCAAAAGGAAATCGGGCCGCCCAAGATCATGGTGGCTGGACACTGTAAACGTCGACACCAGCCTGAGCATGGAACGACTCAAAGAAACAGTACAAGATTGGAAAATGTAGAAAGAGCTGGCCCATAGAATCGCCAAGACTCGGACACGACTGAATGGCTCACAACAACAACACAGGGAATGCCAGTTCTGAAGTAACCACCTTCATCATAGGAAGATGCTTGGCTTGGGACATCCCATCATTTTGTGGAGCCTCCTGAAATTTGGGCCGCGGTCACACGGACCTCTTACCGTGCTAGTTTTCCCGCAGTTCTTCTATCCGCGACATTTTATATCGCTTGGAGGTGGTCAGACGGTCCCTCTGTCTTCCGCTTCACTTGCACGAAGTACTGATCACATAGCGTGCCAAAAACCTGTGCATGCGCTTGGGCATACATACAAACTAAGAAGACCAAAATAAAAGCTAGCGCCTGTTTGCACATACGCATAACTTAAACCGGAAACACAAAAAGGGGGGGAGGGTAGCGCGGTCACGGCGGATTGCTGTCTAGATGCCAAAACCGCAGATACAAAGCGCGAGATATCGGAAAACACCTGTTCCAACGGGTGTCAGAAAACGCGGATAAAAAGAGAAAAAACAACACCTCCAGTTTGCTGGCATCCCTCTTGGGCAGATAAAGCATAGTAGCTCGCTTTCTCGGCAGCCGTCCGACGCATTCCATTTTCAGTAGCTCAGAGACAGATTTAGTGATGGTCTTAAGAGCCCTTTTCCATAAACAGGATTTCTCAAGCTCTCTGGCCCTCTCGCCTGGCCCGCCAGGATCTTGCGGTTTGGGCCAAAGGACCTCGTGCGTCCGTCAACCATTCCCTCGAAGGGAGGAGGATGGGATGTCTGAAGGTGAGCCAGAATCTTTTCAGAGGGTGAGAACCAATGCCTCCCTGTAAGCTGCGGAGTCTTGTGAACAAAAATTCTACTTTGTGAGCTGCAGGCATTCAAATTGGGTGCGAGCGATTCGGCGACTGCATCAATCAGTTTTCTCTGGAGCCCGTCCTTCCTGAGCTACGACAAAAAATCTGTGAGCCGGAGGCTGAAAAACTGTGAGCTAGCTCACACTAACTCAGCTTAGAGGGAACACTGGTGAGAACACCGTTGTGGGGATGTCTTGCACCCCACAAGGGGCTGCTTGTGTGGTAACAATACAGAAGCATGAAGAGTTCCTTAAAATCGTGGCCTGGGGTGAAGCCCCCTTCTTTTCCAAATAGGGAGGAAGCTTGGTGAGTCATCGGGAAAGCAATTGTGTCTCTAAACATGTACAGAGCAATCTTCCCTCCCCTGGGGACCCTGGCTAGCACCATGAGATAAGGAGGTGAGACCTTCAGGTCAAGTGGAATGGCTGTGACTTCCAGGCACCCAGGAACTCAGAAACTGCTTAGTTAAGAACCTAAGAACCATGAAGGATCAGACCAATGGTCCATTCTGTAAAGCAACATGCTCCCACAGTGGCCAGCCGGATAACCTCAGAAGGCCTATAAGCAGAGAACAGATGCCAGAGTCTTCCCACAGTAACTGATATTCAGAGGTAGACTGTGCCTGAATGTGGAGGTTCCCTTTAGACATCATGTCTAATAACAATCTATGGATCTCCCTTTCCTGGATTTTTTAAAATCACCTTTTAAAGACTTCTGCTAAGGCAGTAGCTATCGCTACATCCGGTGGCCATTCCACAAGTCAGTTACACGTCATATGAAAAAGAAAAAACAACCTCCTTTGGTCTGTCCCAAAGCTTACAGCCCAGGGGGTACCACCTCCCCTTCCTAGGGGAGAGCTAGTTTGGTGCAATGGTTAAGAGCACAGACTCGAATTTGGGAGAACCGGGTTTGAGTCCCCACTCCTCCACATGCAGCTGCTTGGGTGACCTTGGGTCAGTCACAAGTTCTCTCAGAGCTGTTCTCTCATGAGCAGTCCTCGAAAGAGCTCTCTCAGCCCCCACCTACCTCACAGGGTGTCTATTGTGAGGAGAGGAAGAGAGAAGGTGATTGTAAGCTGCTCTGAGACTCTGAGTGAAGGGCAGGGTGTAAATCCAATCTCCTTCTCCTCCTCCTCCTCTTCTCCTCCTCCTCCTCCTCCTCTTCTTCTTCTCCTTCTCTTCTTCCTCCTCCTCCTCTCCTCCTCCTCCTCTTCTTCATTTTCTTCCTCCTCCTCCTCTTCTTCCTTTTATTCTCTTCTTCTTCTCTTCTTATTCT